AAATCGTTTGCTAATTGAGCTTTTCAAACAGCATGACCTCTAGTGAAACTAGAACCATATATGTAGGAAATGATTCGCAATAAAGAAAAATATGTAGACGTCTGCTCTACAACAGTGACGAAGTAGACTAGCCTGGATAATCATATATGAGTTTGACGAATTTGATATTCGCGCGGATACGTTTTGTCTTGGTTTTGTGGCAGTTTAAACTATTATAGTGTCTGTATTCGTGGGAAAATACAGGAAATAATTAGAGGCTAAATTGAATTAAATATAAATAAAAATACAACAAACAACTAAAGTTATTCTTTTTTTTAATGCCATGTCCCTTCAGGATGTAGGCGTAAATAACTCACAGCGAATCTATCTTTATTATATTTGAATTGCCAACTTACGCCCATATCACGTTGAAACACCAAGTCCCGTGTGATCACCGAAAGTAAGCAACATCCTTCCTGATCAGTACCTGGATCGATGACCACTTTGGAATAACATGATTAAAAAACTGCCAAAATATTTTTTAATGCGATTCTATTTATTAACATCTAAATAATATATATCATATATTCAATTAGAAATATGCACTATTTTTTGGACAATTCACGCTTTATTTTTAGCGGCATAATATTTTACATTCATTTTATTTTCTCCTGTTAATTCGCTATATTTACATTTTATTTTTATCATATTTCCTATGTAATAATCTCATTAGCTAGCTTACATATATATTATATTTTCAAATTAATTCCAGCATTTTTAAGTAGCTTTCTTAGAGTATTTCATTTGTTATGAAAATGTTTGCAAAGAGCGAAACGTTAACAAAAAAAAAAAAAAAAACTAGTTTGTGCTGATGTATTCCATCTTATATATATAAAGTGTTTCTTGGGAAAATCTATGACGATGCAGTTCTTTTTTCATATGACGTTTCTCCTCTAAAGTGATTTTTACATTGATGTGGTTACCTATCCAGATGAAAAAGAGGAGACACTGAAATTTAAAATTAAAAATTGATTTTTTTTTTTTTAATATGTGTTTTGGTTATGGTGTTCGGCACACGCTCGCCTCCGAACATCGGGATCGTCATCATCTATCTATGTCTCCTTTCTTCATCTGGTTAACGATGACAGAGACAGCTGTGAATCAAAGGAAGTTTGGCGAGGCCATTCGCGTGAATTTGATTTTGATGGACAACTCTGCGCTACAGAAGCGCCTTACTCTTTCGGCTCAAAGGTGATTGAGACAGGCGAGATCTGGCTGTCTGATATTTGATCGGTGACGGTCCACCTTGATTACACCAGCTCGACTGGCGTTGCCCTCCTCCGCCAGTTTCGTTGTTGAGATCATGCAGATCTTTGCCTATTCCGCCGTTGAGGGCCTTCAGAAATTAGTCGCGTTCTGTCTGGTCACTCATACTCGACATTACCGCCATGGGTGGCTCTACAAGTGTTGAAATTCCAGGCGTCTTTACCTTTGGTATCATGAGGCACGCAAACCTTCTACAAGGGACGACTATATATATATTTTACACTGGATGTCGGGATGAACAGTGAGTTATCCAATGTAACACTTTGACTTATTACTTTAATGACAATAATAGAAACAAATCAATAGGTATGAAAAGAACAAAAGTATCGAATTATCATTAAATATATGGAAACATTTTTATTAATATTTGAGAGATAAATAATTAAGAAGAAATTTCCTACTGAACCAACAGTAAAAAAATTAAGAATAACGTTACGACTCGAAACGTTTTTCCTACAAATCTGAAAATACTTCCTCGTCCATAAAAATGTTACGTTACTACAATCAATAAGTAAGAAAGAAATAAAAAACAATTATTGAAAAATGTTGTTAAAAATATTTGAACGATAAATGGATGATAAAGCGAAAAATCGGCGATACTTTGCGAATAGTCAATAATAAACAAAACAAGTATTACGGCTTGAAATGTCTTATAATTTCGAAAATTACGCCCTCTTTCATGAGAAATGTTACGCTTAAATATAAATAAAGAATTATTCATGTCTGTGTATTAAGTACTTTAACAAATATAATGCATAATATCTTTCTAATATAATAATTCCTAGTGATAACAGACATTCTTAATAAATTAAATTTAACGTTTATAGTCTAGCCGATTTCATTTCGTTTCTTTTTCTTAAAATTGTTTTTAATATATAAAAATTTATATATCGTTTTCCCACAGAGAAATCTATATAACAAGTTTAAGTTTTCAGGTGTTCCTTCGAAAGATTTCTGAAAATTTCTAAACCTAACTCACTTCCGAAAATATGCCTAAATTATTTAATATCATATCTTTTTTAACAGTTTCTGGTCTTGCAAGGATCTTTTTCACTAACATGGCATCAATTCTAACACAGAGATAATCTCTTAGACGAACACACATAAAAATATACCCACAAACTTCTTTTATGTAGTTTCACTTAGAACCACTTCAAGATAGAAACTATCTTGAGATAATTCGAACGCACATTTGCACATACAACTATACACAATTATGCAATCTGTAATTGCCCCTAAATATTTCAGCACATCTCCAAACGTGTATAGAAACATAGACGGCAGCGGTAGAATTAAGGCCGCTGAATACTTTTAGCCTGTATAAACAGAAACTCAGACAGATAAATAAAAGATAAAATAAAAATAAAAGAAAGATAAATAAATTAACGTAAGAAAAGCAAATGATGAAGACCGGCTTAGTCTGAAATGAGGAAATAAAACTGAATTGAAATAAAACTGAATTTAAAAGAAACTGAAAAAGCAATAGAAATTGTTTCGGTAAACAGAACAGGTTATAAGGAGGACATAGTCCAAATGAGAGCGAGAAAAGAAATTAAGCAAATAAAATTTTAATAAAATAGACTCGCAGAAGGCAATAAAAGGACAAAACGTACAGAAACAAAAGAAAACGTAATATGGGCTTCCATAACTATTTATTACAAACTGTTACATAAATAAACGGTATTTATTATGAACTGTTACATCATTGACGTGTTTGATCGTCGAAACAAATATACATTTTTGTCGCGGTAACTTGCATATTCCATTGTAAGAGATTATAATAAATATTTATTGCACTACCTCTTGTATTGCGCCCTTTTTTTAAATTAATGTTATGAATGTTTGAATTTATAGTCTTTTCGTTCTATAACATTTGGATATACATACATAGATATATATACATACATACATACATACATACATATATATATATATATATATATATATATATATATATATATATATATATGACCTCACACATTATGAAATGGACAAAGTCCGACAAATATTTTAAAAATGTTTATGTTTATACATTCTTTTTTATAGATACAAATATTTAAATAAATGCTCTGTTTATAATAAACAGCATTAAACAACATTTACCGGCCTGAATGTCCGAGAAATTTTAACAGAAAATATTCGTTCTCCGACAGGATACGAAACTGTATCCTATACGGAACCGTCATTTAGCTTGACGTGCCTTTACCGATTCGGCCACAGAGGAGCGTACGGTTAGCAAGGTCGAATTTACTGTATTTAAACTTCAATCTTCCATGAATCTCTCACGTACATTCATATCTGCTCATGGCCTATCAAATGTAAACAAATGACGTCACACATGAAATGGACAAAGTCCGACAATTATTTTAAGACATTTTTCTATGAAAATTATTTTATTATAAACAGAGCATTTACTTAAATATTTGTATCTATAAAAAGAATGTATAAACATAAAAATGTCTTAATATATATATATATATATATATATATATATATATGTGTGTGTGTGTGTGTGTATTTGTATGTGTGGTGTGTTGCGGGTGTGTGTTCGTGTGTGTGTGTGTGTGTGCACGCGGTCACGCGCGTGTGCGTGTGCTAGATTGTTTTTTCTCTCTCTTGAAAATTGGCTGATACTTTTCGGTTGGCTTGTTCCAAAGATACATCAGTTTTAACGTAAGTACATCTTGAAGAAGACTGAAGAAAAGTGCTAACTAGACATTGAGTTAGAATCGACATGGTGTGATGATTGATTAAAGCGATAAACTGGTAGCCACAATGCAATGTTGATTTATATGTCTTCACTGTTTGATATATATATATATATATATATATATATATATATATATATATATATATATATATCACCTGGTGGAAGCACACAGTTTGTTTTTTTTTTGTTTTTTTTTTTTTTTTTTTGACATCACTTTCACTAAATGAAAATGCAGGCTCTATCCAGCCGAGAAGATCACTGATGCTGACTATGCCACCGATCTATCGATACTGGCTGGCCATTTGAAAAACGTAACGTCACTTCTTCACAACATCGAAAATGTAACCCAGGAGATTGGTCTGTGTGTCAATGCGAGTAAAATATAGTTCATCTGCCTAAATCAAGATATATCGACAGGCAAGAAAAGTCTGAATGGAGAAAACATCAAACAGGTAGACGACTTCAAATACCTGGGTAGATATATTGCCTCCACTGAGAATGATGTAAACATCAGACTGGGAAAACTCTGGGTAGCGCTTAATGAAATGAACAAAATCTGGAAATCAGATCTACCTGACAAACTGAAGAGAAACTTTTTTCAGAACTACAGTAGAGTCCGTGCTTAAATATGGCTCTTATTTGGACATTAACAGCCAAAGTGGAAAAGATGTTAGATAGTGCTTACATGCGAATGCTTACAGCAGCACTAAACAAACCCTGGAAAGATCACCTAACAAAGAAAAACCTCTATGGCAACATGGTACCCATCAGCAAATTAATACGTCAACAAAGACTAAGATTTGCTGGTCACTCTTGGCTTCGCAAAGAATAACTAGCTGGAGATGTTCTACTCTGGATACCATCACATGGAAAAAAGAACGATAAAAAAAAAAAGTTCGACAAAGAAGATGTACATTGGGCATCTGATTGAAAACACCGGATGCAGACTGGATGAGCTTCGAAATGCAACAAATAATATGAAAGAATGAAAGCAGCGTGTCATGGAATACCGAGCTTGCCCGACCTGATGAGAATGATGATGATGATGATGATATCTATCTATCTATCTATCTATCTATCTATCTATCTATTTATCTATCTATCTATCTATCTATCTATCTATCTGTGTGTGTGTGTGCGCCTATATATATATATATATATATATATATATATATATATATATATATATATATATATATATTATGTTTTAGTGGATGTCTGTGTGTGTACATATATATATATATATATATATATATATATATATATATATATATATATATATATATATTATGTTTTAGTGGATACTCGTATTTGAAGAGGAGTTCCGATTATTTTTTAAAGAGTGTATTTATTTATTTTCGTCAACCGGCCTGAATGTTCGATAAAAACTTAAACTTTTCAGCAGAATTTGAAACTGCGCAGCTGAGAACAGAGGAAACTACCCGTAAAGCCCGGTACCCCTTAACCAACTTGAACATGAAGAGCAGTCTGTCGGATTAATTAAAAAAAGAAAACATTCTAATAGATAGATAGATAGATAGATAGATAGATAGATAGATAGAATGGTATCACCTCATGCATAGCAGTACAGTCACTAACGCGCAAGGGGTAAGGGTGTGGAGGAATTAGGAACAGAAACATTAGTTATGTGGAGAAACAAAATAGCAGTCAGGAAGACAGTAGATAGCGATTGAAATTGCATTTGAAATTTTGCAGATTCAAGTTGGCGTGTATCTGTGTGTGTGTGTGTGTAGAGGGGAGTTATTTCACAAGTACTTTCAGAAAAAGGTGGAAAGTATTTGATATTGAATATCTTTATTTTCATTCATACCTCACTTATTTTATTCATTCTCCGACGCGCGCTGCATATAGGTAAATGTATAAATGCATTAATATTTTGCTACTATAAAACCTATTTAAGTGGATACAAAATAACGTATATAGCAATAAAAATAATGTCGGATTACAATTCATTCATTATTTAACGTTACTCTAATGAGGTTACGGATACGAAAATATTGTTTAGCAAATACAGACATTGAAATTCACAATAAGATATCCGTATTAAAAAAAAAGAGTATTTGGCACATGTTTTGCTGTAGAGACCGCTGCGTCAAAGAGTTTATATCACTCAAATCTAAAAGGTGGTTTCTCAGAATAAGGGAATGTAATTTCGATCCCTGCTGATAGATACATTTTCTTTAATAAGACCTTGTATTGTCTAAGCCGGTGGACATTTAGTTCACTATGTAAAACAGGATATATCTATTGAAACTATTAAATAAATAAAGCATTTACAGAAATAAAAATATCGAATTAATGACCATTAATTACGTAAAATTACGCATCATTATAAATACACATACATAATAACGTGCGTGTGCATTAATCGTGTGTGTGTGTATTTATTTTCTTTTTTGTCTTCCATCTGCATGACTCATTGCATGTTCTCGGTTTAGCGTTTTCCGCTGACATATAGTAGAAAGATTATATTGAATGACTTGCTAAGTCTACTACTAGGGATGTTGGTTCACTGTGTCGTATTAGACAATTTTTCTCGACAAAATATATTGTATATTTGTAAGTATACTATTCGTACATGTATTCAATATTGCTGTCACATCTGGTCTGGTTCTTTTGCTATGTATTAGAGATTCTTAAAAAGAAGAATCTGTAATATTATTGGTCCTGATCTGGCATCTTGGCTTCAGTCAATTTCTCACTTCCTAACGTAGCTCCACTGTGCTTTTTCTATACATATATCCTTGTTAATTGTTTTGATATACTTTCATCCTTAAAGCGCCGTACTAGATCGGTTACATCTATTTACAATTGAATTATCTAGATTTAACCGTAAGTTCTATGCTAAGTGTTTCTTCTCTCTCACAAATCGCTTCTGGCCTCATGCTTTCCAATCAACTTTCATTTTCAAAAATTTAAATCCAGTAGCAGTTGTTAATTTCTGTTTTCTTAATCCCTTGTTCTCTCTCCTTAATAATGTTTTTTTTCCTCCTATTCTTTCACAGTCAGTAACCACGTACACCTTAATGGCTTTATTGCCTTGATTATGGTGAAAAGATTTTAATAAAATTATATTCTCTCGACATGAATGAATGTGTTCGTCATAGTGTTCTCGTATTTATGAATATATTATATAATAATCAGACGTTAGGCAATTCGGTAGAAGCTTAAAACAATTCATCATACTTTTTATAAAACCCAGGTTGTGTGTGTGTGTGTGTGTGTGTGTGTGTGTGTGTTCGTTTATATATTGGATCGGATTTCCTACATTTTTCAACCGATTTCAACAAAACTTCACAGGACTACGTAAAATTACCTTGCGGTGGTTCTGACAGCGCCAAAAATGGGAAAAACACAATTGTTTTTGCACAAAATCAATTTGAAAACACGATTAAGAGGCATCGCGAGAATGAAAGGGGGACAACTCACATCGAGTTATACTTATTATAAAACCCAGGTTGTTTGTGTGTGTGTGTGTGTGTGTGTTCGTTTATATATGGGATCGGATTTTTTACATTTTTCAACCGATTTCTGCAAAACTTCACTTTTTTTGTGTGTTTCTTATTGTCTTGCACACTTTTTTCTTTATTTTTATATTCAGAATGCTTTAAAAATTCCATTTACAAGACAATTGTTTATAATAAAATTCTATTCAATCGATAGACTCATAACGATTGAAAAAAATGTTTTTGTATTCGTAAAAAAAAACAAAAAAAAACTAATTAAGACATGCGTGTCCTTCAACCATAAACAATAATCTTTGTCAATTTTATTTTTCAGTCTTTATGATGGTCGATACTTGATCTATCTTTTACTGTTACATCCCCGGGCAACGCCGGGCTCTACTGCTAGTTAATTATAAGAATGTAAAGTTTAAAACCCATATTTTATTTCAGTCAATTAAATCCGTTTGAGTATTAAAATATTTTTAAAAAATTCTTCCCTTTTTGTAAATATTTCGTCGCATCTGTTCAAGACTCTCAGATTACTTTTGTAAATGAGAGAATTTTACCGTTTTCTCTTTGTAGTTCACCATCGAGATAAAAATTCATTAAGTCAGAAAAAATAGCCCAGAGTTGTTTATAGTTAAATTAAAACGAAGACTAAGAAAAATGCAATTATTTATACTGCTGCTACGGATCTATTGACGTATCTGTTATCACGAAAGTATTCCGCCCTGTTTAAAGATAAGAAAGGTTTTCATTCAAATGTTTCTCAGCTTGACTATATATATATATATATATATATATATATATATATATATATATATATATATATATTACACAGCAGTTCTCTCATTCTTTTCTTTGAGTCTACTGAAGAAAAGAGTACAGAACAATGATGCAATGTAATTACCCCAATATAGCGGCGAATGCTCGTCTATTTCCCCACAGATGAAAAGGAGACATTCGACAACAGAGGTGTGATTCAACAGAAGGATGTTGAGAATACTGTTTTCAGGGCATGTAAATAACGAGTAAGTTTAAAAGAAAATAGGAACAAAAAATACTTACAATCTTTTTAATCATTTCACTGAAATCAAGGCAACAGAGCCACTAACATCCTAGGGCTTACTAGTGTGAAAGAATATAATGTTATTTAGAAGAGAGAATGATAAAATATACACCTAGCTGCAGAGTTATGGTTAGGTGTTAGGGAAATTCTAACACAAACTGAAGAGTTACGCTTATTCCTTTTAAAAGATTTCATCCCAGGCAAAGCAAGTCCAACCACTAGGACACAAGGGTTTACTGAGTGTGGAAAAATTAAAAACAGAATCTTCGAAAAGGGTCAAGAGCAAAAGAAAAGTAATCGGAAGGACAGTAGAAAGCAATTAAGATTGCATTTAAACTTGACTGGGAAGCAAGAAGAGAGTTCTTTAACCGAGGAATGCGAGTATAGAACTTACGGTTATATCTAGACATTTTGACTGTTAAATGATAAGATATTGTTGCCAATCTTACATTCATAGAGTCTATGTACCACAGAGGAGAGTTCATCAGAACATTTGCCGTGAATGTATTTACAGAGCTAGGCATACAGAAACTACGTTACACCGGTAAGAAAATGAGTCTAGATACCAGGTCAGAACCAATAACATTATAGATTCTTCTTTCCAAATTTCTAGGATACATAATGAGGAAAGAAGAGTTCGAAAATGTGACACTCACAAGGCATGTTCAAATCAAGAGGAGCAGAGGAAAACAGTAAGTAGTATATCTAATGAACTTGAAGCGACAGATGGCAGATCAGGGTGTGTGAGCGATAGTAAAAAAAAAAAGAAAGAAACATTGCTGAGGGCTACAGACAGTAGGAAGCTGTGAATCCTGATGGGAAGAATGGCACCTAAATGAAAAATACTTTAATTTCTGTAGATTTCTATATTTCTCTATCCTTAACTTCTCTCAGGCTAACGAAACAGATATATACAATTATGAAATGCGGCCTGCATTGATTTGAACTTCGGCCAGGACGTAAGCAGACACGTGACATATCACCTAGGCTAGGATTCTGCTGCTTGAACGACACGGCATAAATACATTTAATTGAAACAAAGTGTACAGATAATACACTTACTTTAGACAAAAGTGCCGATCCATTCATAAATGATCCTACTATATATATATATATATATATATATATATATATATATATATATATATATATATATATATATATATGTGTGTGTGTGTGTGTGTGTGTGTGTGTGGTGGCCTGACGATTGCATCTAGCATGAAACAGACTGTCGCCTCTAAGTGTTGACTTCTATGTTCACTTTTATATTTACACACGCTCTATCTCTGATATTGAGCACTTTATCCCATAAATATAGCACATCTTAAGCCTATATTTCTTATATATATATATATATATATATATATATATATATATATATATATATGAATTAGGATTTAAGCATAAAATATATATATCCATAAACTTAAAACGGTGGCATGCCTAGAGACTTTCATGACTCATCACAAATGACATCTGTCGAAAGAATAGAGAAAAACGGAGAAAAACAGAAAGGACAAATGATCACGAAACACTACACGTATGCACAACCGCGCATTATTGTACACTAAAATAAATTATATATATATATAT